ACCAGCTTGTTGGTAAGTTTCCCTTGCATGTACCGGCTTTGCCTTCATACTGGCGTCTCACTAAGGCAGACCTCACTTGCTCTGCTCTGATGGCCCTCAGAGCAACCTACAGACTTGCTGGCCTGAAACGTTTAAAGCTTAATAAGATCTAGAACTTGCTTATCTGACAGAAAATTGCCTTGGATTTGCTAGCGCGACAGTATATATAGAAACTTGAAGAAAGGTTCCATGGAAATAACGCAGCATATTCTTGACCCCACTGACAAGAAGAGTCAAATTGAAACTGAATAGACTCTTGCCCACTTAATGAAATTTCGTATTGTGCCTTGTATATTGCCTGCCTTACAAAGGTACGTCAAAACGGAAACCGAGGTGATGACACTCCTAACCCAAAGCTGTTGTGCTTCCTTTTGCCATCCCTATTTTAAAAGCCATGTAATCCAACTTCTAGCCTCTTCTCCCTGCAGGATCAAATAAACTATAATCCAATCAACGGTCAACATACCTACATTGACCTCAGAGCACCGTGCCTTATTCCATCTTATTTTATTTTACTTGACGCTAGATGTCCACTCCCATAGAAGAAAGCTCTTGGATTTGAAAGCATGCAACACATTTGAACAGCCTGTTGGTTGAGCAAATTATGTGATTCCAGGTTATTCTATGTTGCTTGCTGGGCTCATGCAGTTGTAAGCGCCGGATCCCTCTGAAAGGGTTAATTAATTGTAAAATGACTAACCAATGGAAACCCAAGGGGAGGAGTTAAGAGTTAGGGTTAAGGGTGTTTGAGAAGTCAGTCTGGAGTTAGAAGAGACAGAAAGGATAAGTCTGTGGGTTGGGCTAGTCTGATGAAAGAGAGTGAGAGAATTTTTTAAGAGGAGTCAGTCAAACAGTTGAGATAATCTGTCAGAAGGTATTAGGAAGGTATAGGCCGGTAAAGAAACTAAAGTTAAGAAACTGACAGGAATATTATCTGAGAAACCATAAACTTGTTAATGTTTATAAAATAAACTTGTTTATTTGGTTCAATTTTAACAATTGTCTGGACTCAGTGTGTACCCGAGAGTAACGGGTTGGTGGCAGCAGGGAAGCGAGCACAGTGGTGGCACAGGGATCAATAGACCGTTAAATGTCCGGGAACCCTGTGTGATCGCCACACTGGCTAAACTAGAAATCTGTCTGGCAGTAACTGGGGTTAAGCTCTGTGCCAATGTAATTCTTAATAGAACAATGCTACAGAGAAGTGGAGGGGACGTGGGTGGCGCTGTGGGTTAAACCACAGAGCATAGGGCTTGCCGATCAGAAGGTCGGCGGTTCGAATCCCCGTGACGGAGTCAGCTCCCGTTGCTCAGTCCCTGCTCCTGCCAACCTAGCAGTTTGAAAGCACGTCGAAGTACAAGTAGATAAATAGGTACCACTCCGGTGGGAAGGTAAATGGCGTTTCCGTGCGCTGCTCTGATTCGCCAGTAGTGGCTTAGTCATGCTGGCCACATGACCTGGAAGCTGTACACCAGCTCCCTCAGCCAATAAAGCGAGATGAATGCCACAACCCCAGAGTCGGCCTCGACTAGACCTAATGGTCAGGGGTCCCTTTACTTTTTTTACAGAGAAGTGGGTAGGAGGAAGAGTCCTTGGTAGAGGAATCACCACTTACTAAACCCTACTGGGCCATACTGGAAGGTTTCCCCCTCTGCCCTTCAATCCACTGGTTTCCAGGGGAGGGAAAATAACTGTGCCTGCTCCAGGACTGTCACAGTTTGTCTCCCTTGTTGGGGGCATGTCAAGGGAACAGGAGGGCTTGGGATCCTGTGGATCCGAGGCCTCTTCTGATCCACCCCTTATATACCCAAGCGACACACCCCTTTTCAGCCCCTCACAACGAAACTTTCCACAGTTGCAATAAAGACAACTTTGAGGGCAGGTCTTCTTTGCCCACAGATCTCCACACTTTCTACCCTGACAGACGGTGGTCTAGGGAATCCACCCATCCACTGGTTACTCCAGGAAAGAGACTTCTTCACATAACGTAAGCTAGTTAAGATATGGGGGTTTCTCCCGCAAGATGCACTGATGAAACACCGTCTTGCTTGCAGGCTTTTGTCAGGAGCAGGTCAGCAACAAAACACCTGGCGTCAGTGAAGTTAACTCTTTATTCAAAGAAACAAAAAATAGTGCATGCCTAGTGGTCACAGGAACTCTTCCCAGTAGGTCTTGCCCCAACGAGGCAGTTGTGAGGACTGAATGTCCCACCGTTCTCTAAGAATCCTCCCTTGTTTCCTTCTCCAGCAACCTGAGTTGCCTTCACCTTGTCTCTCTTTGCTCTGCCCTCTTCATTCCTCTGTATGTTCTGGGAGACCAGTGGGGAGAGGAGCTGGTCACAGCAGGAGGGGGAGAGTCCCTGGCGTCTTCAGCAGCCTGCCCCCACTCCTCTCCAGCCTCCACTTCTGCCTCTGATTCTGGACTGCTCTCTGCCCCAGCTTCTTCCTGCTCACTAAACCCTGTTGCCTCTTCAGCTTCCGACACCTCCCCCTGCCAGCCTGCTCCCTCTTCTTCCTCTGGGGGAGTTCCCCAGCTAGTGCCTCCTACCACTCCTCTGTAACCACCAACCCATCTATAACCATCTGGATGGATACTGTGAGAATAGGATGCTAGACAAGATGGGCATTTGGCCTGATCCTGCAGATCTTTTCTTATGTGCCTACATAGGAGTTGGGAGGAGGAAGCATGCAGCTTTGTGTACACACACACACACACACACACACACACACCACACACACACACACACACTGCCCTTCAATCATATTTCCAAGATGATTTACAAGAATGAATAAAACAAAATATAACTGCAAACATAACATCATAAATTGATCTCATAGCTGCCCCCCCCAATTACTTAACTGCAGATTAAGCCTACATTCTGCCTGCACTGGCCCATTCAGTTGGTCCAATATATTTGTAGTTGTGGTTTTTTTTTAACACAGCTGTATCATCCCAGTCTATATTTCAGACAGAACAGGTAGCTATTAGACAACAGTGCCCGCTTTGGTAAAACTCGGAACAAACTTGGAGCAAAACTAATAAAAGCCAGCAGGAATAAAGAGCATTTTCATTATTTTGTTTTTTCATGCAATAACCGGCTGCAGGAGTTGTGTGCTCTTGGCATAGAGGAAAGATGGTTTAGACAGGATCACAAGAAGCTGCCTTATACAGAGTCAGACCCTTGGCATATCTAGCTCAGTATTGTCTACAATGACTGGCAGTAGCTCTCCAGGATTTAGACAGAGGTATTTTCCTAGCCTGGATATGTCAGGGATTGAACCTTGAGACCTTCTGCATGGAGAGCAGATGCTCTACCACTGAGCAAGGTCATTCCCAATATTGTGAGGGCTCTGCCTGCTAAAAATTCTGAAGGCTCCTGGGCCAAAAGATAAGAGAAAGTTGGGGTGGAGACCCATTTCATATACACTGGAAAGGAGAAGCACCTGGATACCTTTCTTCATCAGTGGTTATTTCCTCTGCCCTGTCTCCTTTTAACCCCTCTAAGCTCCTTGGAGAAATTAGTGGACAGAGAGGAGAGGCAAACTATGAATGGATATAGCGATGTGGGTTTTTGCAAAAATTCAATATGGGAAAACGTTTCTGGAAATGTTTCCTGTGGATATTAAGCTAACTTGCACAGGGTAATTTGTACCTGACAGTTTTCTGATGTGCGAGCAAGTGATTTAATTTAGGATGTTATTCCCCCCCCAATTTAGTAAACAAAGCCCCCACCCTCAAAAAAGTACCCCCATGTTAATTTTTGTCCCAATTCCCCACAAAAATTTGAAGGGAAGAAATAAGGGACGGCTTAAATTATGTATTATTTGAATACTTGTAAAAATTGCAAAGACAAGATCATGTGCTGCTCTTACATCATTTAAAACTAAGGGACCAACCCAAAGTTATTGAAAACTGTTGACGCACTAATAAATGTTAGAAACCCAAAGAACTGCGCACGATATACGCTGACTCACATACTCGCTGGGGATAATCACCGGACAAATATTAATTACATCTTTGAAACTGCCGAGCTTGCTTAATATTCTATTCGCATCTGGAATCCATTCATTGCTACTAATGAATTTTGGGAAGGGAAAATTTCCCACAGAAAAAGAAAGCCCTGGGAAATTTTATACCCCACATCGCTGGCTGGAGAAAGCAGTCGGATCCTGCAGTGCGCAATTGATTTCTATCCTCCTTCAACTTTCTTTGTTGACTTCAGAATTCTCAGCAAGCAGAGTTTTGTTGTGGCAGAGCTGCTCTCACATTGAGAGTGTAACGGGGGTCAGAGAGACAAGAAGATGGCATGGTGGGAAGTTGGTGCTTACCTGACCTCCTAGCAGGTGAGTTGTCGCTGCTTACTGGGAGGGCTGGGGTGAGGCTGCGACAAACCTGGTGCAATGCAAACGCCCTGGCTGTGCCAATCTGATGCACCTGCTGGCGTGTATGTACCATGCTCCCCTTTCTACAGCCATGGCACTCTCCCTCCCAGCAAGTGGTATAAACTCATTTGCTGGGACTGGAGGTCAGGTAAGCACCTCTGCACCACCACGCTACCTGCCACTGGAGCCAGGGTTGCCAGGAGGCCATGGAGGTGAGAAAGAAATAGAATACAACTTTCACATACTGATCAGAAACAAGGCACATCTTCAGCAGCAGGTCTGCAGTAAAAACATGGCTTCTCAAAATAGGAAGGGCTTAGCGTTTATTGGTATAAGCACTTGAGAACATTTGAGAAAAGCAGAAGTTCTGATTTTGAACACAGAAACCCATCTCAAAGCACTGCTCGTTCATTCATAGATCACTGTTATGGCTGGTTGATCTTTAAAACTCCCAAGAGCACACACTACCTGTTGCTAAATAATTAGTTAAATAACAACTGCGATTGCTTTGTTTTTTTTAAAGAAACATGACAATATGCTTTTGGCTTGATGGCTTAGGTTTGTCTCGTTCTCACTCACCTTTGCTGCAAAAATGCCGTCCTGTTGAATGTCCATTTGGGAGCCTTATCCTGCAACTCATGGTTCAAGGCGTTTGTATTGGGTACAAAGGAAGGGTCAAGGAACTTCAGTGCAAACTGGGACCTGAAAGGGATCACATATCCGCACCGTCAGTGAATTCACTCGAAGCTTGAAGGCATAAATTAACTATTCTATTACAGTCTAGAATGAAGTGCAAACCAGTCTTCAAGGACACCCCACCATCAAATAGACAAGATACGTTCTATGACACATTACGCTTGGAATCTAAACATGCTCGGTTGTATGTATTTCACCAAATCCCAGTCCAGATGAGAACCTGGAGAAAATGTTAGAGGCAAGTTGTTCATTCTCCCTTACATGCTATTCGTAGGTGTGCTGGGAGATGCTTCCCCCACAGGAAGAGGGTTTGAAAGCATTGCTCCTGTTGCCCAAAGGATCTATTAGATCCTGCTACATATGTAATCTTGCACTTAATATGTTGTGGGGAGGAAAATATGCTATGGAATGCTACAGGCAAGCTAGAGACCTGAAACTATACTTGCTACCACTTTTAATCATCTTCCTTTAGACTCTTTTTGGCCTTCCCCAGGAATTCATGTGCTTCATGCTCTCCTATTCCTCTACTGCTTCTTCTGCCCCACCTATTATTATTATTATTATTAATTGCCTTCAAAACAACAATCTCAAGGTGATGTACATGAAAGATAATTAAAAAGCAAAAAAACAGCAAATACATCTAAAAAGAAAATAAAACCAGACAAAGTAAAGGCCCATTTATCCAGCTGGAAAAGCTTGTCAGAACAAAAAGGTCTCCGGCTGTTTCCAGAAAGTGCAGATCGTGGTTGACTGTCATATCATGGCAGCAAATGCTATTCCACAAAAGAGAGGAAACCACATTCAAAAAGCCCTACTGCAAAGCAGATTTCTGAGATCTTTAGAACCTGTAAGAGAAACTCCCCTGCAGACTGGCCCTTCTTCTTCTCTGTACTTTTGTTAAGTTTTTACCTTTTTGTAAGTACGTTTGTAACCCCCCCCCATTTTTCTGTTTTATCTTTTGCAAACCGCTTTGAGGTGGCTTTTTCTACACTCAGGCAGTGTATAAATTTTATGGAATTAAAAAAGAGGGGGGGGGGATTCCATTGATGAAAATGCTTGGAACCTGTGTGTAGATCATTGTTTGTGTGTTCTCACCTGAACGTACTTTAAGGAGCTACCTCATACTAAGCCAGACCACTGGTCTATCTAACTCAGTATTATCTACGCTGATTGATTGTTGCTTTCCAGGGTTGTTCAGACGGAAGTATCTTCCATTCTCTACTTGGAGATGCCAGGGATTTAATAAAGCAGCTACTCTACCACTGAGCTAGAGTCCTTCCTAAGCATTTTGCTGCATGCATACAGGGAGTCATAGAGTTGAAAGGGACCCTAAGGGTCATCTAGGCCAACCCCCTGCAATGCAGGAATCTCAACATGCAGTCCCCCACCCAATTTGAAACCATACCGGACCCTGCTTAGCTTTGCAAATGTGCCAGTGTGTACATTCTTCTCACCTGATGGGCTGTACATCATACTTTCTATCTACATGTGACTAGAACAAATGTAACATGTAAAGCAGCGGTGATGAGCCTATAGTGCCCTCCAGATTTTGTTGGACATCAGCTCCCATCACTCATGCTAGCTGGGGCTAATGGGAGCTGGAATCCAACAGCAGATTCTCGATCCCGGATGTAAAGGATCGTTTAGGCTGCAACTCTAAACAACAGTAAGTCCCACTGAACTGAGGAAGACTTAATTCTGAGAAGACATGTATCTGATTTTGCTGTTAGCTTCTAATTTTCCCCAATACTTCAAATTTTCTAATGATTAAGAGCCAGTCTACACATTAGTCTAGACAGCAGACGATGCCACCAGAAGCAGCCACAGCATTATGGTTACATAACACTATATTTATTAAAGTGGCAGCATGGAGAAGACAACATGCAAAAGCAATTTCAAGTGGGACCTATGCACAGAATATAGATTAAGGTATCCAGCTGCCTTGTACTGAGTCAAAACCTCTGGGCCATTTAGCCCAGTTCTGCTTCCTCTGGTAGGCAGCACCTATGCACAAAAGTAGAAAACAAACAGAATGGTCCGCCCTTTCAAATGTTGTGATCTGAGAGTTCTCCTTAATTAGAAGCAGAGGGTGGACGGGCACCGAACAGGGACGCTGCAGGATTTCGTGCATCATCACGAGGTCGGGCTAGATAGCATTTGACTATCCAAACTCTGATTTTGATTCCCCCCCCCCCCATTCTGAACAGCCAGAGCCGTTAGCATCTGGGCGGTTCATTAGCGGAGAGCAAGCTTGGAAGGGAGTGAAGGCGGATGGGCGCAGAACGGGATGCAAATTCAGCACCATGGACAGCGACATCCGAAAGATAACGTCGGCGCCTCAAGTTTCCATTCACTTTTAAAACTCTTCTTTCTCTGAGAGGGAGGAGGCCATTTCAAGCAACGCCCCCCCACCAGAAGCATTTGTGTGGGCGCTGGGAAGGGGCTTATTTTTTGCAAAGAGCCAATGCAACGCCACGTCTGCACAGCGTGGGGCATTTCCCGGCCTCTGGACCAGCAGAGGAGGAGGAGGAAGACCCAGCGAATCGTCTCCACGACTTCCGCCTCACGCCTGCCTGGAAAATCCACCTTCCTCCTGCAATTCCCCTCCCCTAATTCTCCGGGCCCGATCTCTGCGCGCAGAGAAGAGGGTGCCTCTAATCTGCCGGCGCTAAAACGGGGAGTAAATCTGCGCTTCTTTGGGATGGTGGGGAGCGCAGCGCATCCAAGCAGAATTTTTGTTAAAGAATGCATTTAAAAATAAAATTAAGAAAGCCACAATCACACAAAGGACTCCCCTCCCCACTTCCATCACCAGACCTGCGGGGCAGCGCAGAACACGGGGTGGGGATGGGAGAAGACAAGGAATGGTGGAATGGAGCGATCGGAGACCCTTCCTAGCCCCCTGCGCGTTTAAAGAGCGTTTGTGCATCTGTCAACCCGCCCCCAAAGCGGTGGGGAAGCCGCGCCGATGTCTTCCCCCATCCCCAGCCGGGGAAAGAGGGCGCCTGCGCCATCAGCTCGCCCCATGATGGAATATACATGAACCGGGCAGGGAGCCACCATGATTCTCGTCAGAGACCCGCATCATATTTTATCTATATCTATAGGAGCCGGGGGTTCCTCACCTCCCACCTTCCTCTGGCCACTGAGGCAACCCCCCCCCCACCTCTGCACGATATGATCGATTTTTAAAAGGGAGGGGTGGGGGCTTGGTTTACTGCTGGCACAAAAAAGCGAAGAGGTGGGGAATGGGGGTGTCCCGGAGCGTTGATCCAATAATGATCATAATAATAGTAATATCTACCCCCCCTCGCGCGAAACACACACCCTTCCCTCCTCTAACCCTTCCTCTCCAGCATGCATACCCTCCACCCAGCTCACTGGCTCTTTCCTCCCCTGGAAGACGATATATGTACATTTAAATACATATATGTATTTCAAGCACTCACCTAAATCCAGTGTGGAACATGTACATTCGTGGCACTCCCGTGTTGGCGTATTTGGGAGTGGTGAAGATATTGTCTTTTTTCAGAGACACGTAGCTGATGAAGGACAAAATCAGCAGAGCTACGCTGAGCATCACCAGACCCAGAACACTAACCACCCGGACCATCTTGCAGCTTCTCATGCCTGGGGGCGGAGAAGTGGGGGGGGGGTTGAAAGAGAGAACACACACACACACACACACACACACACACACCCCACACACACGGAGCTGAAAGAGCTACATTGGAGTTAACACACCCAGAAATCAGGGATGGAGCTTGTATGTGTGTGGTGGGGTGGAGGGGAGAGCGGTGTGGCTAAGGAGCGGGGGAGGGAAAACATACACAAACACTCCAAAGGATTAATTCAAAGCACACGCACACACAGGGGAGCTAAGCGCTGAGAGGATGAAGAATTAAAAAATAATAATACCAAAAAAAATGGAGGGTATGAGCTCTGCAGCGTTGTAATGGCAGCGGATGGGGGTGGGTTAAAAAAAAAAAAAAGGTGGATCCTGCCGGAAATTATAGAAAGCTGCCTGATCCTGCCTGCTTCCTTTGTGCAGGAAGCTGTGGATCCTATTGCCTTAAATAGGTGTCCCATTCAAAAGCACTCAGGGGGTGGCAAACACAAACCATCCTGGAATATTCTGGAGATTTGCTCTCTGAACATTAAGGAAAACACCTTGCACTGAGTTGAACCATCCCTGCTCAGTTCAATATGGTCTACTTTGCCCAGTGTTTCAGACAGGGGTTTCCCAGGCCTGCCTGGAGAGAGGGGACTGGATCTGGGAACTTGTGCATGCTAGGCAGGCGTTGTACCACTGAATTGCGGTTCTGGGTCTGACTGAGATGGGGTAGCACCTGTTTTCCTCCCCAAATGCCATTGGCACAATAGAAGATGCTCCAGACTCCAATATCCGCCCCTTAAAAACATCACTGCCTACAGACGGACATGAGTTGGTGGTTTGGAGCTGGTACAGCAGAGAACTTTGTGGCGAGCAAAGCCTTTGGGAGGCGGTTTGGAGCTGAGACAACCAAGAGCTTTGTGGTCAGTGAGCACAGCCCTCCAGCTCTGGGCCTGAATCCCAGAACACACATGGGGCAGCTGTGAAAATGAGTGGACACTTTCAGGTACAGTATGCAATGGCAAGGCTTAGCACAAGAACGAGGAAGCCATGGCTCGCCAGATCTTGCTGGACTACAACTCCCATCATCCCTGACATTTGCTGTGCTGCCTGGGGCTGATGGGAATTGGGAGTCCAACAACATCTGGAAGGCCACAGCCTTCCTTTAGCCTTTTACAGTTTCAGGGGGTTGGACCTGATGGCTTTGGGTCCCTTCCAACTCTCAGTTTCTATGATTCAGGTGTTGCTTATTTTTATTTTTTTAAAGAGCCTGTTATCAAGGGAAGTGCAGGTGATACTTCATTTTTATTTTATTTTAAAGAGAGCTGTTAGAGTTTCCCCCAGTATGAGACCCCTGCCATCTACCTTGAAAGGAAAACTAGGAAGGATACCCAACTCTGGTTATTGGCAAATCACTGAGTCCAATCCAAGGGCATGTAAAGCCCTAAACAATTTGGGACCCAAGTACCAAAACCCAGCCAGATGGGCAGGGTAGAAATGATAAATTATTATTATTATTATTAGCATGACAGGGCACTCTCTGTGTTGGCCCCCCGCTTATGGAACTCCCCCCCCCCCAGGTGATATTTGGTTCAGCCCTGCAGAAATATTTACCAGTAAGTGAAGGTGAAATACCTTTTAAACTAGTTTATGTGTTTGGATTACAAGTGGAACTGATTTTTTTGCAATATTATTATAGATATTTGTTACTGCTTAAAGAGCTGGTATGTGAAGTTGCTGGTATTCTAACAAAAATATATAACAATAGAACATGTGGACCTCCAGTGAAGCTGAATGTTGGAAGATTCAGAAGAGATTTTTTTTAAAAAAGTACCTCTTTGTGCATTGCATAGTTTTATATGTATTGTGGTATTTTATGCATTGTGACTTGCAATTATTTTTACTGATCATAGTTTAGTAATTATTTATTGTAATTGTTAAGAGTGAATTTTTGTTTAATTATTATTTGCTGATGTTTTGAGAGTTAATTTTATTATATTCTAACAGATTATTGAATATTACTTTTATCTGGTATAAGTCGTTCCATTTTAAAGCTATGTTTTATTATGACTTTTGTATTGGGTCAGTTTACTATGCAAAGGTGTGCTTTCTTTGTTGCATATTTTGTTGCTGTAAACTGCCTTGCGCAGGGTTATTTAGAGTGGCGGATTACAAATTAATAGGGAAGCGAAATGAAACGAAATAGCTGCTGGGGCCACATAACACCGGTCCTGAGAGATCTGCATTGGCTCCCAGTACGTTTCCCAGCACAATTCAAAGTGTTGGTGCTGACCTTTAAAGCCCTAAACGGCCTCAGCCCTGTATACCTGAAGGAACGTCTCCACCCCCATCGTTCAGCCCGGACACTGAGATCCAGCACCGAGGGCCTTCTGGCGGTTCCCTCATTGCGAGAAGTGAGGTTACAGGGAACCAGACAGAGGGCCTTCTTGGTAGTGGTGCCCGCCCTGTGGAACGCCCTCCCTTCAGATGTGAAGGAAATAAGCAGCTATCTTATCTTTAAAAGACATCTGAAGACAGCCCTGGTTTGGAGAAGTTTTTAATATTTAATGTGGTATTATTTCTAACATTCGATTGGGAGCTGCCCAGAGTGGCTGGGGAAACTCAGCCAGATGGTATAAATCTGGTTATAAATAATAAATTATTATTATTATTATTATTATTATTATTACTCCCAAAGGAGGCACTGATGACCACCAACCTGGAAGGACTGGACCCATTCATAGAGGAGAAGGCTGCTAGCCAGGATGGTAATGTTCTGCCTCCATGGCTGGAAGTAGTAATGTTTCTTAATACAAGTTGTTGGAAACCACAGGAGGGAATAATAATAATAATAATAATAATAATAATAATAATAATAATTTTTATTTATACCCCGTCCTCCCCAGCCAAGGCCGGGCTCAGAGCGGCTTACAAGCAATAATAAAAACAAGTTGAATGATTACAACTTAAAAACAAAATTAAAATACATTAAAATATTGAAATATTAAAATTTAGCCTCATCGCAGGAGGAGAAGGAAAGGAAAAAAGAAAGAGAGGGAGGGAATCAAATTGGCTCCAAGCCAAAGGCCAGGCGGAACAACTCTGTCTTACAGGCCCTGCGGAAAGAAATCAGATCCTGCAGGGCCCTGGTCTCATGAGACAGAGCGTTCCACCAGGCCGGAGCCAGAGTTGAAAAGGCCCTGGCTCTGGTTGAAACCAATCTAACTTCCTTAGGGCCCGGGGCCACTAGGGTGTTGCTATTTATGGACCTTGAGGCTCTCCATGGGGCATACCGGACCGGGAGAGGCGGTCCCGTAGGTACAAGGGTCCTAGGCCAAGGGCTCTTGTGCTTGGGTTCTGCTCCAGGGTATCCCACAGGCACTGTGGTTGATCACTGTGATAACAGGATGAACTAGCTGCACCACTTACCCTATCCACTTTATCCACACCAAAAGGACCCAGAATGTTATATACTAAAGTATAGTTATATATAAGTTACAAGAGCTTGGACACACTTGGACAATGTTTCCTGCTTGGCATGGGATTGGACTTGATGGCCCTTGTGGTCTCTTCCAACTCTATGATTCTATGAATGTAGGATACAACTTCTTGAATTGTAGGTATGGAATGTGTGTTTCAAAATGAATTCTCATTCGTCTTATCTAGGTTGGCCCTTGAAGTCAGCACATCACCACTGTTTGCTAATAGACTCCAATGTATTGCATTTGGAGCCCGGAAAAGTACAAATATAGACCTGATTCCAAACAACCTTATCGATTTTAAAATTATGCATAGGTTGTAAGATGACCAAGAGGTATCTTAGTACAGTACAGTGATGAGCACAGCTTTTTGACCTCCTTGGCAGGTCCTGGCCGGCAGAGGTACAAGCCGGAGCTGACTAGATGAATCAAATTAGACCCTGTCTGTTGGAGTCATAGCCCATCCATGCATAATTTTCCAAACAGATGCATGTCAGGATTTGTCTTGTAGTTTGGCCTAGATTCTCAATGTAGTCTATATGCAAGTCTTAAGGTATGGCTGAAAGCCATATGATGCAACAGTTATGCAGAAGATAAGCAGGGTCTGGATGAGAGACCAGCTGAAGGTCTCATGTGATCTGCATTTAGCATCATGGAAGAAAGCAATAATATAGCTATAATTTTTTAAAAATGAAATAAAGCTTAGAATAATTGTTCCTAAGAGAGAAAGTCTACTCAGAGCCCTGTTTGCCATCTTAATGAGATGTGTGTGTTGATTGTTGTGGTGGCTGTTGAAAACCAAATAATTTGATTATTGCTCCTAAGGAAGGAGGTTTTTTTAAAACAGCAGCAACAATAACAACAACAACTCAAAAATAAAAGTGTAGTCTTTACAATCAATCAATCAATCAATCAATCAATCAGTAAACCAGTCAATCAATTCAGTCAGTCAATCTCACAAAAGTTACGAGCCTGCTAAAAGGCTAAACTGGGAGAGGACTCTGCAGTCAGCATGCAAATGCAAGCTATTAGTCTCTTAGATGGCTAGTAAAAATTAAATAAAATTGCTTTCTTCCAAATGGACTGGTGGAAGAAGGGAAAGTGGCCTTCCTCTACCAAGGGGACAAGTGGAATTGGGGAAGGGCCACAGCTCAGTGGTACAGCATCTGCTTTGCTTGCATTAGGTCCCTGGTTCAATTCCCGGCATCTCCAAGTCAGGCTGAGACAGTCTGAAATCCTGGAGAGATGCTGTAGGTCAATGAAGACAACATGGGAACAAGATGGGCCAATGACTTGATTCTGTAAAAAGCATCTCCCTATGTTCCGAAGGAGGGTGGAGTGGTTCATTCTCCCTCTGCCAGTCCCTTCCTTGGCAGTTAGTGCTGAAATCAAGCAAGCTAGTGGAAGAGGTGAGCATCATTGCCAGCTTGTTTGCTCATCTCTGCATAGAAATCCACCCACTCACCTGTGGCTACCTGGAGAATTGTTAGATAAGAGGCTAAATCAGTCACCAAACTTTATTATCTTAGCCACGGCCA